GAGCTGATATAGTGAAATAACTACCCTGAAATCAGTTCCTCAACAACCTTTCTCCAGTGAGAGCCCCTCTTCTCAAATGAAAAGTTTACATTTTTGCACTTTTGGGACTGTAGTGGGCATAATTTTGCTCATTTCTGAGATGCTTTTAAGATATAATCAGGATACAAAGTATTTGTCTTCCTTATAATGTTAATCTTTTCAGCAACCATGTGCTCCTTTGCCCCAATACTACAGATGCTTCCTTTCTGATAAATTTGCAAAGTTTGCAAATCACTTAGCTCTGCTGTTTACTCCTGATTCTCACTGTAAAACTAGTTTAAAGCAGCCAGCAGTATCCATGCCTCAGCCTGAACTTTGGGCTATCTTGCAATTTTCTCTGCAGGATCAAGTAGTCCACCACCCTCATTCTTAGTTTATTGCAAAGTCTCAGGACATAAACAAAATGAAAACAAACTTTGTTTCAGAGTATAACACACATGACTTCTATTTCCATTTCCAATAAAATCTTTGTTCCCAACTGAAACTCCTTGAGCCCAGCCTTTGCCATATTTTTGTTTTGTTTTGTTTTGTTTTGCTATATAGTTCAGTCTAGTCTTGAATTTACTGTGTAACCTAAGCTGGCCTTGGACACATGGCAATCATCCTGCTTCACCCTCCAGAGTGCTCAGATTATAGGTGTACACCACCATACTTAGCTATCAGTCTTATCAGCATTCTGGTCCTTTGAGCTCTGATCAGTACTGTACATAAAGTACTGCTTACCACAAGTTAAGGATTTTCTATCTTATTTCTCTACACTTTTCCAAACCCCTCTCACAAACAAGTTCTAAAGATTTCTAAACCACATGATAAGATACAGCCACAACAACAACCCCACTCCTAGTACCTATTTTCTGTATTAGTCACTTTCCTACTGCTAGGACAATATACCTAATACCTGGAACTTAATAGAGGAGAAGTTTGTTTTGGCTCTCACAGTTTCAGTGGTTAAGTCTGTGTCTACCAGCTCCAAAGCAGAAGCAAATGGCAGAAAAGTATAGTGGAGGAATGCTGCTCAATCCATAATTTCCAAGAAATGGGAAGTAAGAACAAAGGACAATATACCCTTCCAAGTTATGACCCAGGGACTTGCCTCCACTGTCCAGGGCCTACCTCCAAACATAAGGCTTTGGGGAAATATTTTAGATCTAAACCATCACACATCCATCTAATCTTATAATTAATTCCTATGATATGTTATTGCCTTTGCATCTTCCCCCACCCTTCTCTTCTGTATCCACTTGAATCTCTCATCTCACCTATGAGACAATGGGACACACTTGAACCTAATTCTCTTCCTAGTCAGGGCTATTTTAAGAGAGTGGCTGTCTTGATCAGACAGTCAGGGAAGGAACAGTTTATAGTCTTTTTGAGAAAAATTTCAACACTACTTACTATAGGAAAATCTAGTTTTAGCAAAAGCAGATGTTTTGTCCACCCAGAAGATCTTTGCAAACAATCACATTTAAAATTAAGTTCACATCCTCTGTAAAATTCATCTCTGATAATAGCTAACATGCCCTAGGCTCTGTCTTGGAGGTGAGATATTCTTTTTTCATATATTGGAGATGTAGTATTAGTCACTTTTTTACATTGCTAGGACAAAAATAGCTGACATATACAACATAAAGGAGAGAGGTTTATTTCAGATCACATTTTCAGAGATTTCAGCCCATGGCTCCTAGACAGAAATATAGCAGAAGAGCCCGGGAAGGAAAACTCACTATCCCATTGCAACTATCCCATTGAAGCAAAGTGACAGGAAAGAGCCAAAAAAAAGCCTGACTCCAGTGAAATACTTTCACCAACTGGACCCCACTTCCTAATCACATTCAGCTATGAACTTATCAGTAAGTTAAGCCATTTATGATGTTAGGGCCCTCACAATTTCCCCCTTCCCCTCAATGTCTTTTTTTAAGAGTAGGATGACTTTAAGAGAAAGAAAGCTTCTGCCTAAAAGGACAGAAGGGGGCTTGGAAAATGGGTTGTCCCTCAAATGTCTTTTAATTCAATCAAGTTGACAAGATTGACAGTCACAGATCTAAATCTTCCAAGAGTAAATTCATCGGAAATTCTGACGTATAGTGTCATAGCTACCAATTATCTAGAACAATGGAACTAGTAGCTGAGGGAAAAAAGAAGCTTTTGAGAAAGTGACAAATGAAAAATCTTAATGAAGATATCTGCTTCAGATTGTATGTTTATGTATGTCTATATGTGGATTTATGTTAGTACACTTGATAGTTTTCTATCATAGATAATGTTTTGTTGCCAAAATTTACAAAAAGCTCCATTTAATTGACTTGAAAAAACTAAGCACTTAAATAAAATATTCTCTCAGAAAAATAGAAAGGCATGCACGTGCATTTTAGTTTAAGTTATCTGAGATGAGCTTCAGTAAATAAAGATAATATTTCAATTGATGTTGAGAGACAGATATGTCTTCAGAACTGTCAGCATTAATTATAATGATAGTATGCTTTTAGAAACTAGATTTATAATTAAATAAGTTTGTTATCTCTTAGATGTGGAGGTTTGTAAAACTATAAACCTAAATAAGAGTAGAATGCACAATAAAAATAAATTGCCTGATACATTTTAGTCATGACAGTAAAAAAGAAAACGGAAAACTTGCACTTAAATTTTTAGTTTCTTCATTTTTGTGATTTTGATATTTGCCTGAAGTTTCAAAAGTCAGCATAAAGTGATAACCAACCTTATTATCCATGAGCAATTAAAGAATAATCATTGAGAATATATAAAGTAGGTTAATACAAATAAGATGAATATACTTTCAAATCGTTTTCCATTAACTTGAAATCTTACTTATGTAAATACATTTGTGGAAATGTGAAAGTAGAGAGAAAAATTATTTGAGAAAATTTAGTGCATCTGCTTTTGAATTTTAGTCCTGACCTTCTCCCTCTCCCTCTCCTCCTCCTCCCTCTCCTTCTCCTTCTTCTCCTTCTCCTCCTGCTCTTCCTCTTCCCTCCTTCTCCTCCTCCTCCTTCCCCTCTTCCTTCTCTTCCTCCTCTTTCTTCTTTTTTTGCCTCAAGCTTTTTAGATCCTAAATTCCTCTAGGTCTCTCCAATCTAATTTTCTCTCATTAAATCACTAACAAGAACTCTTTCAGTCCCGAAGCCCCCTAAGTAAAGCTAAATAGCTTGTTGTAAAATTCAGGGGGAACCTCCCCTGCACAGAGGACTCACCAAAATGCCTCATGTCATAACCAAAAACATTCCGATTTGCAAACCTATGTGAAAAGTGACAGCTTTTTGTGCTATGGACAGCTTTCCCCAGATATCAGAACAAGACTTTTTATCATTATGGGATGTTTACCCATTTTGATTTTTCTTTGCTTGTGCTTACTTCTTTCACTCATATAATACAATTGAGCACTAAATCTGTGCTGTCAAATCCAAGTTTTTACATGACCTAAGAGACCCTTTTTTGTACAATGGCTCACTTTTACAACATCCCTAATGCAACTATTGCTCAAACTGTACAAATAGTCCCTTTTACAAGTTTGTATTCTAGATCTTCTTGTTCTCTTTCTTCTTTTTAATGAAATCTAATAATGAGATAGAAGATAATAGAATTACTATACTAATTTAACACAGTCTATACAGATGCTGATACTTCTTGTTGCACATAGGTAAATACATTAGGTATTGTGGGGACTCATTTTGGAGAAATTAACAGACAGCTCCTGCCTCAAAATGAGCAGGTTCCTCATTTAACTCACTCGAATTTATTTTATTTTAGCTGATTTGTTTCATAGGAACCCTGGCTGAGGAGCACACTCTAAACCAGTGATGTTGAATCTATGGCACACATGCTGCAGCAGGCTGTTTGTATTATTAAAAGCTCTGAAAGATGATTTTAACTCTTGGTACTATCCATTAGTCATAAGAGGAGTTTTCCTGGAGCATTTTAGTCTCCCAAAAGTTTTAAATGTTTACATGTAGCCATCTGTCAAATGATCTCTTATCAGCAGGAATGACAAAAACTCAAAAAAGGCATGCTCATAGCTAGGCATGAGCATACAAATGCTCATGACAAAGATACATACTTGTCATTCTAGCTACTTGGGAGGCTAATGCAGGAGGATCCCTAGTTAGAAGTCACTCTGGGTAACTGAACAAGACCCTGTTGCAAAACATAATTTAAATCAGCACTGCATATCAAATTGTTAAACAAAAATTACAGACCTTTTTTTTGTTAAATGTTTAGTTTGTTTTCTTCTGCTTTGTTGAGACAAGCCCTCACTATGGAGTTCAGGAAGGACTTGCACTCGCTATGTAGTTTGGGTTGGCCTGAAGCTCATGCCTCAGCCTCCTGAGTGCAGAATTACAGATGTGCACCTCCACACCTGGCAGGAGGCTATTTTTTTAACTGAGCTTCTGTACTTTGGACCCAACAGATCAGAGTAAACCAAAATACACACTGCTAAATGCCACAATGTCAAAGCGAAATTTTAAAGCAGAAAGATCCTCAAATAGACCACTCATTCTTTGGAAATATGAGATTCCAGTCCACTGGAGTCAGCATAAATTCCTTCTGTTTTAGCACCTACAAAAAAGTAGACTGAGGTAATCTAATGTTAACTAGTTTTTAAAAATAGTTTCCATATTTTAACTTAAAAAAAACCATGATTTTATTATTGCCCAATAGGAGGCTTTCATTCTATTTTCAAGAAATAGGTTGCCCCACCCATAAACCAAAATTAAAATCAAATAAATCTATAAGCAAATATGTTATAATTTTGTCTTTTGACAAGTTTAAGCAACAAAAGTTAGAGGATCAAGTTTCTAAACTACAATTCACATTTTCATTCCCAACCAACTGAAGACAGTACAAGTCCTCTGCGGGCTTCTATTTCTTTCTCAACAACAAGTTATCTAGAGACCCCACCAGAACCTGTAAACATATGGTGCTAGAGCCAATGCTTGAACACTCACCTTCTCTTGCAAGTGCATGGACATTTTAGCTCTCAGATGCTGGAGTGGTCGTCCCCAGGCTGAAACTCAGGTAAGAATAGAGGGTCAACTTCTGCTCCAGACCCTGGTTGGGTGCCACAATTTGTCTCTGCACTAAGAACCCTTCTCAGCCAGAAGACTGTCCCAGCCAGGTTCTATCTCACTTTGCCTGCATTTTCTTGACATGCATATTTAAAGGCTACAGCAGTGGATGATGTTATCTTGAATTTTTTCAGATACCTTTTTCCCCTTTCAACAAGCAATAAATAAATTGCACATAATTGGCTGGCGTAGGCAGTCACAAGTAAAGTGAGAGTAGGAGTGTGGGTGAGGAGTAGGCAGTGATTAAGAAGAGGAAGGAGAAATCAGAGACTTAGCCAGGATGTGGGATGATGGTATCACCAAGATCACATTGCCCTTGTCCTAATAAAATGCTCAGGATGTTTCTGCCAATTATGATGTCTCACTGGCTAAGAAAACTTTGTACTACTGCATGCTATGCCCTTGACATTGGCTCAGTGAATCTGCTGTTCCCTCTGCTTCCAAGTCTTCACTCCCTTTCATCTTTTTCTCTTTCTACACTTCTCTTCTGTTGGCCTCTGTGTCTCTGCTCAGCACTCCACAATCTCAGGGGTGCTCTGGAGACTTCTTTCCAAAGAGCAACAGCACCTAGTCCAGTAGTGAGGGTTGGGTACAGGCAAATCCCAGGAGCAAGGCAAGCAGCTGGACACTTAACCAGTGAGGAAGCCATAGTGGCACCCATCATTCACAACTCCATCCTGTTCTCCCATTATCCAATCCCTTGGGGAGGAAACCCGAGCTCTACCTAGGCTCCTGAGGTAAGCACAGTGTGTATAGCCTGGTCTCTCCATCTACAGAGTGCTTGAGACTTAGGTGAACAATTGCTCAACACCTTCCTCACCCCTGCCCCCAGATCCAGGATGCTGAACGGAGACCCCACAGAGCTCTGGCTACATCTGCACACTCACGGATCTGTGCACATACACGTGCATGCCACATATAGTCATTTGGTATACTCTGTGAAGGACAGTCACCACTGGATGCTAATGATCAGTCCCATCTCCATGCCCATCCAAAATTTGTGCGAATGGTTTTAATAGTCTTCTGGTTGTCCAGGGAAATTTTAGAGACTTGTATCTAGAAAGAGGCCGGAAGCACAAACAGATGTTTTCACACAACTGCAGATCAAAGACTAGTATGTGGACTAAGAATAAAAAGTTTAGTTGGTGTGGTGGCTTACACCTGTAATTCTAGCATACCAGAGGCTGAAGCAGGGGAATTGCCATGAGTTCCAGACTAGTTTGGGGTATATAGTGAGTTCAAGGCCAGGTTGAACTGTGTGGTGAGACTTTGTCTCAACAAACCAAGAAAAAAGAAAGCAGGTATTAAACAATTCCTGCAAACCAATAAGTAGGAGTCATTTTCTAGAATCTTCACTGTGACCCTGTGAGATGTGTGCTCCATGATTTTTCTACCCCCTACAACCCCTCGCCCCTACCCCCAATGAAGATTGGATCCAGGGAATGGTGTTTGCTAGGCACATATACTTACAGATATTGAGCTACATAACAGCATGATTCAGCATTTTCAACATGAGGAAAGTAAAATACAAAGAGAACAATAACTTGATTTTTTATGGTCAAAGAAGCCAGTAAGTGGTGGAGTGGACTGGAACACAGAAATGTTATGTTGGTGCCCAAGATTTTAATCCCAGTTCAAGACTTTATTTCTCAGAAAAACTGAGGTGCTCTGACCTCACAAGCATAGCTCCATCTTTTCTGGGTCTTAGGCAACCTTAACAGCAGAGATTGCCGCTAGGAAGGCTATACATTCTTTCAGTCTGCTTCCATGACCAGGTCTCTCCATTACTAGACCATTTTAACCCCTCACTTCCACAAAAGAAGATAACGAGTTCTGTGCAACGACTGGCTTACCAGGAACAAACACCCTAGATTGCCTGAGTAGAAGACAGAGGTTTTCTCTCTGGTGTCAGGGACAAACCAGGTGACCCAGCACCTCCATTCCGGGCTTGGTTCTCTGACCAGAGGGAAAGTGCTGAATGAGACTAGGTGTTCTCAGAGATGGGCAGCTCATTGGTGGCTGCTTGGAAATGCAGGGTGTGGAATAGAAATCTGTACATTTCAGTCCTCTCTACAATATCTGATCTTAGTTCCTTTACTGATTGCAAGCTTCATCTTTATCCTAGTGTACTCGAACTGCTAAATACTGTATGCTTATACAACAGAAATGGATTTTTCACAGTTTTCTGGAGGCAAAAATCAAAGTCAAAGCACCATTAAATTTCACCATATAGGGCTGGGGATTTAGCTCAGCCTCATAAAGCACCTGCCTTGCAAGCAGGCAGTCGTGAGTTCGATCCCCGGTACCGATAAAAAGGAAAAAGACAAAAAAAAAAAAAAAAAAAAGGAAAAAAATTTCACCATATAGTGACATTGGCAATAGGACACAAACATACATTTATCTGGTTTCAACAATATATGGAAAGGAAGAAGAAAAAGAAGTATTTAGGCTGAGATTCTTGTTCAGAAATTTTGTGAGGAACCAGTTAATTCTGGGTTAGCTATTTTGTGAGTTTAAACTTCTTCATGTAGCAAATTGGAATTACACTTTCCGTTCAATATTGGTTCAAGTATTTAAAATGTATTGCATTTTGGTACAGATACATAGAAAGTTAATATTTACTTATATAGTTATTTCTTTATTACTATAATTACTACTTGTTATTATTTCACTAACATCCAGACTCCTTCATTTTGATATTCAGGGCATCTTATGACCACTCTAAATATGCTTTTTCACCCTTAATCCCTACCATCTATTAGATACAATTTATAGCTTCATCAAGGTGCCCTCTCACCAATTTCCACACTTGATCTCAGCCTCAAGACAAAGACGCAATAACTCTTACTGGTTTCTAAATATGATTCATTGCCTCAATATTTTCTTGTACTCCATTTTTCCCTTTCAAAATAATATTCTTTTTTTTTTTTTTTGATACCGGGGATCAACTCATGACCTCACATTTGCCAAATAGGCACTTATGCCACTGAGTTAAACCCTTGGCCCCAAAATATTATTTTGACACGCTGTTCCACTTCTAGATATATACCCAAAAAAATGTGAAAATAGACACCCACACAAAAAACTTGTATATGAATGTTCATAGTAGCCTTATTTATAACAGCCAAAAATGCAAACGTTTGTCTACTAACTAACAAATTAATGAAAAGTTGTATATTCACACATGGAGTACTATTTGACAGTAAAAAGGAATGAAATATTGGCCCATGCTACAAATAAATGAACCTTGAAAAGAGAATGCTAAGTGAAGGAAGTTAGTAGCCAAGAACCACATAATGCATGATTCTGTTTATATGAAATGGCCAGAAGAGGCAAATTTATAGACAGAAAGCAGGGTATTTGTTGCTCAGTGATCATAGAGAGGCTTAAAGAAGTGTGTGCACCTAAGTGTAAGTATGTGTACAGGGGTGGAAATAAGAGTGTAGCCTTCTTTTTGGAGTATAAAACATTTTTAAATTGATTGTGGTGATTAACCCGTGAATATGCTAAAAGACATTAAATTATGTGATTTAAAGAAGTGAATTCTGTGTATATTCTCTGTGTCTGCTTCCATGACCAAGTCTCCTCATTACTTGAACATCTTAAGGAGATAAGGAGTTCTGTACAATGACTGGTTTATTAGGAACAGTGTCACCCTAGATTGCCTAAGTGGAAAACAGAGTTCTGCCCTCTGTTGTCAGGGACAGACCAGAGTTTGGAAAAGCATATAAAAAAGCGTATCTCAATCTTTTATCCAGTCATATCAGCCACTGCAGATCCTGAAATTGCCAGCTTGTTCAAATAAACAACTACATTGAGACATATTGCTATGCAACCGGCCTCGCTTACTTATCCATCCACACTACATGTAACATCTTGGTACTGGGACAAGAAGTCAGAGCTGCAGAAACTGCCCTCATTAGTCTGAAACCCTCAGGCTTTTCTATGACCTTGGGCAGCATAGAGAGAGGGATGGAGGCTGCCAGCACCTGCTGTTGTACTCTAAGAAAATAGCTTCGTTATATGTGTATTATAACAAAACCCGAAACGCGGCTTATGTATGTGTTTTCCTTTTCCCTTCGATGACCTAATTGATATGTCAAGCAATGCTCTCCTCTGTAAAGAATTGTAAAACCTTACCTAACTGATATGTTAACCATTGTTGCCCTCTACATAACAGAAGTGGTGCTAAAACAAGCTAACAAGTGTTATTAATCACTGTTAGGTGCCTCTATTCTCCGCTAAAAAGCTAAAGAAAACTAGGATGCCCTCTAATTTACACTTGTTTGAAGTAACTTGCTTGTGTGCAGGGAGATTTGCTTATTAGCATAACCCTTTACCTGACCTTGATCCCCCTCCCCAGAAAGAAAGAAAAACATAACCAGGAGAACATGGCGGACAGACAGCAGCAGCTACTGAAAGCTCTCTGAAAGGCTCGGCTCAGAGGCCAGGAATGATGCGGACTAAGGAGATACGAACCAGTAGAGATGTGCTCTGCTGACTCAGGAACGAACTGGGCTGAGAGAATCCAACTTAGAATGCGGTCCTGGCGCTAAAATAGGAACAGAGAAGTCTCGGTGTGGAGGCTCGACCGCACACCATTGGAAACCGCGATTTGGGTTTCCCGCTGCCCGGCGGCTGGCTGCCTCCACAGCGGCTCGGCAAGGAGAGACGCGCCGAGCTCTGGGAACGGGAGTCTGCGAACGGAGTCGGAAACATGACGGACAAGGAGGAAAACTGTCTGGTGGCGAGGTGAGCGAGAAACTGACTCCCTACCACAGTTTGACTCCAGCGGAGGTTTTTCTGGGCTCGGGCAGTCCTGTAAGAGCAGGGCGCGGTGGCAACTGCAGCCGCACATTCCCCTCTCGGACGGGATTGGTGAAAGGTGCCTGGCCTGAGTGACGCTGCTGGCGGACTCCCTAGGCTGGCCTAACCCAGATCCCAGAGCCTGACGGTGGCCCGGAGGAGCGACTGACTCCCACGTAGGCTGCCTCCTCCGCAACTCCCTGGGGCGCAGCGGTGGGCGGGAACAACTAGCCAGTGCAATTTGATCAAGCTGTGGCTGACAGGCAGGGAAGCCGGGCC